CTCTTTCAAATTGCAACTAGACTTCTTCTAGCCTTTTTAAGTTGTTGAATTTTTATTTTATATTATTCATCTTCCCTACAAACACATATAAATCTTGTATCGCTTTGTTGATTTCTTTTTTTTTTACCTGAACCTTTCTATCGTCATTGTATTGTTGATCGACTTGATATACGACCTCCATTTTTGTTGCAACTATTTCATTCGGCATATTTCTTGCAGTGTTTCTCGGTTCAATTATTTTTTTAAATCATTTTTTTGAATTTTTAATTACGATTCTATGGAAGTCAAAATTTCTAGGTTAAATCTGATGTATACTTTCGAAAAAAAGAACAAACACAGATTAATATTTATAAAATCATGTTTGATGATAATAGGTGGTAGAAAGTAACAAATTTGACATTTACGTCTACAGATATAACCTGAAGAAATCTGTTTAATATCATTTATTGCGAATCTTTTAACATATGAAAAAACATTTTCAAAGAATATATTGTACAAAATTTCTTGTATAGGAATTCTTGAATATATATGAAAATTTGGTTGTTATAATTTTGGAACATGAGAAGTTTTATGTATGATCTTTTTTCATTTAGAAATTGGAGCATGTTCTTTTACAGCAATTAAATCACGTAATTTTTCATTAAAATCTCATGTGATTTTTTTACTTACCTTTATTTTAATTATATTATATTTCTGTATGTAAAATGCTAAAATAAATTTTTTATGTTTAGAATTTATATGATAATGGTTATATGCAACCATACTTCATAATATTTTATTGTATCAAATATAGCTTACACATAGTATTTTCCAGAATAAAATAGCTAACATTCTTTTATTGTTTCTATATATTCCATAAGGTCTGTACATTGTGAAAAACATGCCTCTGTTCGGAAAGTCTCAAAAGAGTCCGGCGGAGGTGGTGAAAGCTCTTAAGGAGGCAGTAAATGCATTGGAGCGTGGTGATAAGAAGGTAGAAAAGGTATGTTGTAAGGACATATTTCGGTTTCTATGACGCAATACGTTCATTTTTAGGCTCAAGAAGATGTCAGTAAAAATTTGGTACATATAAAAAATATGCTGTATGGAACAGCAGAAACAGAGCCTCAGGCAGATATCGTTGTTGCCCAATTGGCCCAAGAATTGTATAATAGTAATTTGTTGCTTTTACTTGTGCAAAATCTTAGTCGTATAGATTGAACCAGATCTCCAACAGTAGAATACATATGTACTAAACCAGAAATATTATTTACCCTTATGTCTGGGTAAGTTTTTAAACACCATTCATTTTAAACTTCCTCTTTTTTGAAAAAAATATTCCTGTTTTATTTATTTCATTTCTTATATTAACTAAGTAATATTGTTAAAATAATTTTTGATTAAAAGTATACAGTTTTTTATATGTAAATGTTATTAAAATATATTTTATATATTTTAATAATTTTATTATTAAACAATTATATTATTCTACAATTTATTTTATAATTACAGGTATGAACACCAAGACATTGCTTTAAACTGTGGCACTATGTTAAGAGAGTGTGCAAGATATGAGGCCTTGGCAAAAATCATGATCTATTCGGACGACTTTTACAATTTTTTCAGATACGTTGAAGTGTCTACTTTCGACATAGCTTCTGACGCGTTTTCTACGTTCAAAGTAAGCGATGATAAGCGCATGATATATCGTACTTAAAGTAAAGCATACTCTTGGTGCATCCGGTACGTTGGTTTTTAGGAATTACTTACCAGGCATAAAATACTGAGCGCTGAATTTTTAGAAATTAATTACGATAAAGTTTTCTCTCATTATCAAAGGTTATTGAATTCAGAAAACTATGTTACGCGACGACAGAGTTTGAAACTGCTAGGGGAACTTTTACTTGATAGACACAATTTTACCGTATGTATAATTATTAATCGTTAAATTTTCCATGTATATTTATGTGTTTAAGAACACGTCAATCTGACAATCTTCAAATTTCAGGTAATGACACGATATATTTCAAATCCCGATAATCTGAAATTAATGATGAATATGCTCAAAGAAAAGTCACGTAATATTCAATTTGAAGCGTTTCATGTTTTTAAGGTATATTTACATACTTTAGAATCGTTATTGTTACTTAAATTCAAAAAAATACTTAAAATAATTTATATGTAACTTGTTAGGTGTTTGTGGCGAATCCAAATAAACCGAAACCGATTCTAGACATATTATTGCGCAACCAGGAAAAATTAATCGAATTCCTAACGCGCTTCCACACTGATCGTTCCGAAGACGAACAGTTCAACGATGAGAAGGCGTACCTTATTAAGCAGATTAAAGAACTTAAGTCTGTACATGAAAATTAAGTCCAAAATACAAGTTATTGCTACAGCTACCGTTAACTACTACTATTGAAGTCTATTCAGCTGCTGTTGCTACTGTTACACCATCACAGTCACCGATGTAGCGAACTACCATTATTTTCTTCCTATCTTTCTGTCTTTTACTGTCCCTTTCTTTCACTTGTTATAGTTATCGTTGATCGATTCATAATGACTCGATTATGATTAATTATTATTATTATTATTAATATTATTATTAATATTATTATTGTTATTATTATCATTATTATTATTAATATTATTATTATTATTATCATCATCATCGCTATTACTTTTATTTGCGAGTAGTTCTGTAAATAAAGTTTTCGTTTAATTACGTATTATTGTATATTTACACAAAGCGATTCTGTGCCACGTTCATATATTTCCACTTGAATATTCAATTAAAGTAAATAATATTTAAAAAGAAATATTTCATCTTGAAGTTGATATTAATTTCTTAATATAATTATTGTATTACTTTATACTATTGTAATTATGCTGCCTAATATTTGTTATTGTATTTTATATTACAAAATATTGTTAAAGAAAACAAGCAAATCTAATATTTTAGTTCTAAATTTATAGAGATAAAAATATTATGTAATCATTATTGAAAATCTATTATTATTAAGTTATGTTTGTTATGTTGAACGGTATTTAATTATTAAAAATTATAATGTTAATGGAGGATCTAAAATATACATTTCTAATTAGGAAAAAATATACATTGAAATAGTAGGGGGTGTCACGTGGTTATTTAATGACAGCAATATCATGGAGGTCAGTTTAGGTTAGTCAATAGCGATCAGATTGTTCAGAAAACCTAATATTTGTGTTAATGTTTTAATATTTAATGAAACAAATCTACTTTTTGTTTGTAAATACGTTTTGACTTGGTGTTTCAGTGCAATTGTAAAATAAAAAGATTTAAATTTAAATGGAACTAAAAAAAATTAAATTGAATTCGTGCAATGTAAATTCAATGAAGAGCGAAATTACATGAAATCATTTTGATCTATGACCATAGCTGATATATTTACTAGTAAAGAATATGGAATAAATAAAAATGTTTGTAAAAGACCCTTGTGGGATTGTGTGTATCATAATTACGTATGTTGCTCTCTTCTATGCAGATTACGTCGTCGTACGTTGGGTTATTCTGCATAGTTTACAAGACAGGTGCATTTAATAATTTTCTATATTTGTAATCCTATTTATCTATAGTTTTATATTTATTTGTACAAAATTAGTTTTGCATAAATTTTATACCACTATGGATGTGTGTATTTCAATTTTTTAATTTGATTAAGTATTAATGGGATGTTTTTTTTTTCATTTTATTATATTATTGCACTTTTACTGTAATTAAAAATGCAACTTCAGGAAAAGCACTTGTAATAATTATGTACTAATTTATGATTAATACATTTTTGTATATTATTATATACAGTTTATGGGGACCCTTTCATGTTGTGACTTTCAACACCGTTGTATTATTATTGGTAATGTCACATTTGAAGGCAATCTGCAGTGATCCTGGTGTTGTACCACTACTTCAAAGTCGTATGGATTTTTCTGATATTCATACAGATAATACAGAAACAAAAATTGAATGTGATGAAAGAGACAGATGGACTGTTTGTACTAGATGTGAAACATATAGGCCTCCTAAAGCATATCACTGTAGAATTTGTAAACGATGTGTTAGGAAAATGGATCATCACTGTCCATGGTATGCTATAATTTATAGGAACATACAATATGTTTGAGAACAGATACAAATATTAAATTTACTTAAAGAATATGCAATTTGCATTAACAGTCAATCTTTACTTTTATTTATTCTTTATTGTATCATATCTTTTTTAACTTTTAGGTTTTATAATGTCTTTTTAATACAATTATTTTTATAAATTTTTCCATATAAAAATTTTTTGTTATTTTTAAAAAATATTTATTCTTGTACCAAAGGTTTACATACTTTAATGATATTCTTTTCTGAATGTTACATTTTCTATAATATCTATGACAATAAGTTTATTTACGATGTTGCTCAAAGGATAAACAACTGTGTTGGAGAACGAAACCAAATGTATTTTATTCAATTCCTGGTCTATGTTGGAATATTGGCCCTGTATGCATTAGGTTTGGTGATAACCTCATGGATTTTAGAATGTTCCATATGCAGTAATGACATAGCTGTCAAACAGAGTCGCATGTATGTGTACTTCATATATTTAATTATTATAAACAAAGCAATTGCTATCATAATTATTAAAATTTATTAAATTTCTATTTAAAAAAAAAAAGGTAAATTGTAAAAAGAAGATCAAGTAGTAATTAAAAATCTTTTCTTATATAACATTTAATTTTACACAAATTTATTTAACTCAGGAAATTATTTGATATAAACAGAAATAGGTTGCCAGGAAAAATGAAATTAATAGAGAAGTTTTTTTCTGCAGCTTACACTGCGTTATATTGGTATTGGAATCAGCACTGTTTGGCATGTTTGTCATCATAATGCTGGTAGACCAATTTCAAGGTATCCTGGAAGAAGAAAACATAATGGAACATATGCAGAATAATCACCATTATAAAAGAAACAGTTCACGTACTTTGGTATTACTTTCTCAGGTTTGTGGTAAGAGTCATCCAATTTTATGGATGTTTCCTTGCCAAAACCCACCACGTTATACTTTCCGAAAAGATGCGTACCTGATAGATCATGAAGTTTAAATGAATACTTGATCACATATTGAGGAGTGAATAATTTCTCCTGGCTTTATTTGTCATCAATATTTTTTTATATGTTTAAAAAGATTTCCATTATATCTAATTCCAATTTGTGTAGAATTAAAATATTATATATTATAATATTTGAAAAAAGAAGGTTAACATATAATTCTTTACCTGTAATACTTAAATGTGATTAAAAACATTGTATTATCTAGAAGTAGAAAGCTTACAGCAATTTTATTTTTTTATTAATTTTTAGTTTTTTAACAAAATTTGTTTTAATATTTATTATATTAAGTTACCAAAGTTGAAAAGGAAAATGTAGAAAAAAATATATTTTAAAATTTAAACTTGTACAAACTTTATATTAGTGCTTTTAAATTATTACTTAATTCTTTAGTAGATTACATTTAACTACAGTTTATAAATCATTAAATCTATATATATATTTTAGTATCCCTTTATGAGTCATTCCATACAATTACATAAATTTAAATATATTTTCAAGTTTAATATTCATGTTATTGAATTAAGCACTAGTACTTGTATTGAATGTAATATTTATGAATGAATAGCAAACAAAATCTTAGTGAAGCTTGCAAAATTGTGCATGTAAACAGATGTTTCGGTATATAATTGAAAAGGAAAATGTAGAAAAAAATATATTTAATAATTTAAACTTGTACAAACTTTATATTAGTGCTTTTAAATTATTACTTAATTCTTTAGTAGATTACATTTAACTACAGTTTATAAATCATTAAATCTATATATATATTTTAGTATCCCTTTATGAGTCATTCCATACAATTACATAAATTTAAATATATTTTCAAGTTTAATATTCATGTTATTGAATTAAGCACTAGTACTTGTATTGAATGTAATATTTATGAATGAATAGCAAACAAAATCTTAGTGAAGCTTGCAAAATTGTGCATGTAAACAGATGTTTCGGTATATCTTTCATAAAATTTCATGAATGCATATGTTTAATGTGTTTTGTGAAATATTCCAATATATGTAGAATTCAATACTAGTCTTGAATTTTGAAAAAACACTGATAAAATTCAGTTGTATTTAAATTGACAAAATGTATATTTTTTTTATGATATTTATATTTATTATGAAATTACTATACATAAAAGGTATTGTAGTATTAAAAAGGCAAAAAATTTATTTTGTTTTCCATAGTACTTATATATGATATAAGTTTTAGAGACAAGCAGCCATTAAGCCAGCAACATTTTCAAAATCTATTTTTTCTGTAATATTTTTTGTCTTAATATTTTCATCTTGATTAGCGATAAAAATAATGGATTTGCTTTCTTCTTTCCATCCATATTTTTTTACCCAATGTTTTAATGTAATATCTAAAATAAATTACATTATTATTAAATTTGTATTTATGTGTTTTAAGGTAGTTTAACAAGTAGTATTTAAAGAACAAATTTTTCTTATTTGAATATATTATTGTACTTGAAAAATGTATATAATATTAATAATAATATTAATAGGTGTTAAAATATATTAACAACATTGATTTGATAAGGTTAGTTTATAAGTTTTTGTTAAACTACCTTAACAGACTTATTTTATTTAAAAATAACTATTTTGTTTAATTTACTATTTTAGCAAAATATCCTTTGTAAATATTCAAAAAATAAAATTACCATCAACTCCTCCAAGAAGTTGTGCTAACAGGTTTTTATCTATTGTCTGAAATGTAATTCCTACTACATGGCAAACAAATTTTCTTATAGAATCTTGGAATCCGACAATTCTATCACAGAGATCAGACATGGAAAGAACTCTATCCCAAAAATGTTGGAAATTACATTGTTCTAAAATGTCTGCCAAATACATAATTTGATTAATAGGACTTTCTTGCATCTGAAAAAATAATTTGTAATTTATTAATCAATTTACATATGAATAAAACATAGATGATGATTAATAAAATATTTATGTAAAAAATATGAATAAGAAATTATATGTATTTTATATAAAATGATATTTCACATATTGTAATTATGTGTTGCTTTATCAAAATTATGCTTGATGAACATTTATACTATTGAATAAAAGTATTTGATAATGAAAATATATAAAGCAGATTTAAATGAATATCTTACAATTCGTTCACTGAGAAGACATTTACAAAGAACAAAATCAGTATGAGGAAGATTGGTTAAAGCCTTTAACAATATTTGACATGTAATATCCATGTTAAATCTATGTGGATTTAATTGATATAATTTTAAGACTGCTAAATTAGCCTCTAAGTCATACGCATTTTCTCTTGATTGTATTTCAACATATTTTTCAAGAGTTGCTAAATGATCTGGGTTATATCTGAAATTTATTTTATTCAATTAAAATATAAAACGGAGATGTATGATTATGATATATTATACGATAATAATGACAAGAAATTGTAAAAGAAACTAATAATTAAAAATATATTTAATTTTCAAGTACTTTTTGTATTATTAAAGTAAATTATGTAGAAGAAACATTTAAATCATGAATAATGCAAACCTTTCAATGCCTTTCAACATTCCAGCCACGGTTTGACGCATTGCTTCAGCCATTATAGTTAAGAAAAATTATTTTTTTAACTATTTATTGTAAATTGAATAGTAAATTATTTCTTAATTTCCAAAGAAAATATTCTGTTAGGTTAGAAAACGTAATCACTCTCACATATAATATCAGAGTTTACAAGGCTGCCAAATTTGATAATATAAACTGGTACCAACCTATAACAATTTTTCTAAAAAAGAAAATTTAAGTGCTATTTATTTCATAATTAAAATACAAAACAATAATAAAGAATTTTTTCTACACACAGCGAAAATATTAATATCTTTATTTCATGCATATTAAATATAAAAAATAGAACGATTTATAATTTGTTAATATATCATCTATCACTTAGATAAAATTTTAATTTAATTTTGTGTACAGTTGAAAGAAAAATTTAATAGAATTACAACAGCACATGCATGTTTTATTGTTTTTAAGTCAACGTTTTACAAGAAGTATGAATTTAATAAGAAATGTTATTTAATCAGTATTTCAAATATAATAATTTTATTTTGGATTTTATACTGTTTTTCACTTGTCTGTTATTAGGTTTTTATATTTTTTGTATAATATGCATTTTGTTTTCACTGACTAATGGTATTAGTAATTTTAACGTACTTTGTGGTAATTCAATTCGTAAAAAGAGATGTGACCCGCAAAGTAATTCTTAACGTGGTTCCCGCGCCACTTCCCGTACATCCTCTAGTCATTGGGGATGCTCCCCTCTGCCGTGCTAACCGTTAACGAGCAATCAAATCGCATGCATGCGCGCGCCATGTAAGGTATAAAAATTAGTTAGACTAAAATTTCCTGTTTCGTGAAAAAATTGTAAAAATTTAAACAGCATATATCGAATCCCTTGCTTACAATGAAAGATCACTTTTTCAATATAGTTAGTAAAACTTTCATGGATACTAATTTTTGTGTACTGGACAAAAAATTAATTATAAAATTTAAAAAACTATTCTTTTATTTATTTCAATAGTTGTTTAATTTCATAGATCGAAGAGTGATTTATATCTATAATAGATGTTTCAGAATTTGTGTGAGTTAATGTCGATCATCCTGATGATCTATATTACGGAGTGTACCCAGAACGGATGTAGCGATAGATCGGTGTCACGTGAACCCTCCGGATATACTAGCTTCCTAGTCTTGCTCACCTACTTTATCGCACTCTTTCATTTTGTCAGAAAGTACAGAAACTTGCATATTTGTTATACTATATCGAGGCAATTTTCATAATAAGGATAATAACGCGGGAAACTTGATATCGGTAAGTGTTCGATAGCTATAAAAATATTTGAAATCGCTATTTTGTGAATAACAAAAATCTTTACAAATAATGTCTTATCTTGAGAATATGCTGTTTAATTAATAAAAGGAATTGCAATTAATATACATATACGCGATACATGATATAGCTTCCTTTTCATTTTTAGAGAATTCCTGTTTCCGCTGTGTTTTAAGACCAAGTATCTCAAATTCACGCACTTCAATTGACAGACGGAGTGGAATCTCAAGCTAGAATTGGAAAATCATCAATGTACTAAAGAAAATAAATAGATGTGTACGTGCATCTGAACAGTGACAGTAAAGAGCACAGCATCGTCGAGATAGCCGTCAACTTGATGATGATATACTGTTGCGATCTTGGTGACCCTCTTTCTCCTTGTTTTCCTCGTCCCCTCTTGCTTCGTACGCGCGAGCAGGCACGAGTGAGCGCGCGCGCGGAATAAACGCATGACACCGATGTAAACGGCAAGGGTGGACCGGGGGAAAAAAAGGAAAAGGGGGATCCCCTGATTTTGTACTCCCAATATTTCAGCTAGTTCGCTGTCGAAAGTGAACTCCTGATTCCAGTTCTGAGCGGGCCGGCTGAGCATTCGCATCGTCTCTCAGATATACGTCGTCTTTTAGACATCAACATCCAAGACAGACAAAAAAGTTGAGAGAAAAGATAGAAATCAAGGGTGGAAAAAACGAACTGTTGCAACGTCCTCGTTATTCACGTAGATTGTACATAGTAATCGATGATCGTAACATCGCTAGAACCGCCAGGATCAAGAGAACTTCTTTTGAGAGAGACGATCGACTTTTAATCGTTAAATACCACTTTGCCGGATCGTAGTTTTGCCAAATTAAAGTGTTACGCTCTTTTGTTTCGAGGACTCGTTTCATTTCGGAAATGCCGTTTATTCAACCCGATCGAGTTGCTGCGTGAAGGATCAAGAGTGTGCAGTGCAGTGCATACGGTATTCGATCCTTGAGAAAGTTCTATTAAATCTGCGTTTCTATTTCGCGCGGTTACTTCTTTATTTCTGTTCTCCTTACGAGTTACCGGAAATTTACGAGAGGGAAGCACGGTGACTACGGGAGCGCAATTTTTGAACTGCTGACACAGTGTCGTGAGATCGATAATTGGCCACAGTTAGGTTTGTATAAAGCTATTTTATTTCGCGAAATAATTTATTGGAGAGAAAAAAGATAGAAAAAAAAAAAGAAAAGAAAAAAGTAGTACTGGGAACATGTAACACGTGCGAGTAACTTGACATTCCCAAGCGCGTCATTGACCGAGAAACCAAGTCCAGTCTATAAAAGGAAGAATCGCGGAAGGAAGTTGAATTGCGAACTTAGCGAGGATTTAATTAAGAGTAAGCGAGAAATTCAAGATCATAGCAATGTCGGTTATGCGGAACAGCGCATTCTCGGCTAATTAGAATATAGCTGTTTTTTATGAGCGTGGAAGAGGAAGAGGGAGCCAGGCAATAGATCGGCCGCGAAGGGGTCGGGGAAGGATGAGCTTTGGGGGAACGCGGATATTCATTACAGGGATCCCCAGCCGGACATTCGTATTTAACCGGACTGCATCGATACTACTTTTACGCCTTAATTTCTTCTTATTCATCTTGTTGTCAGAAACTACGCCGTCCTTTGTTTCGTTCTTGGTCCATTCTATACTCCATACTCTATACTCCATTGAAAGGAGTAAATCTTCGAAACTTAAAAACCACGAAGCATTATCTAATATCGGTTCTGTAATCGAAGTATCCGTTTAAATCAATTTCTGTTAATTCTGAAATACTTGTTATCATAGGGTAACGTAGTATAACTTTCGAAACTTTTCGTACTGGCGATATGCTAGGACCTAGATTTCGTACAGTCACTGATTTAACGTTTTCCACTGAGCTGGTGGTATCCTTGAATTTCGAAGTGTAATAATCTTCCGTAGATTTTCCACGTGACAAAGTGCAAATCGTATCCGGTTCCGGAAAAAGAACTCGGTCAAACTCATTCTCTGCAAACTACGTCCTTTTAGCGAACCTTGGATGTTTCTTTCTAAAGTAGAGTTTAAAATCCTCTCTCATATGAACTTGATAAATATTCTATGATATAAATACGAATGAATAAATTTTGACACGTTTCATTGTTGACAGAAACACTGTTATGTCTTCGCGGTAGTTCCGCCGTGACCAGTACAGGAACACGCGAGAGAGGTCATCGAAAACGAGGGAACCTTTTCACGGTGAGCGGAAAAAATTGACGAAAATGACGAAAGCATCGAGAGAACCGGAACTCGCGGATTCTGAAAATCCTGACAAAACCGCATTGAATCTAACATCGAACTCGAATAAAACGAAGCCATTGCCAGAACGTGGTACATGGAGCACCAAGCTAGATTTCATTTTAAGCGTGGTAACTTTATCGATTACAATATTATCATTTCTTATTTGTTTCACATTTGGAATATTCAATATTAATGTTACTAATTAAATTTGATCTAAAGGTTGGTTTAGCAATTGGTCTGGGAAATGTCTGGAGATTTCCATATCTCTGTTACAAGAACGGTGGCGGTGCATTTTTAATCCCATACTTTCTGACGCTAGTTCTTGCCGGGATTCCAATGTTTTTTATGGAACTAGCTCTCGGTCAAATGCTCACAGTTGGCGGTCTCGGTGTATTCAAAATAGCACCCCTTTTTAAAGGTATTGGATACGCTGCCGCTGTCATGTCCTGTTGGATGAATGTGTATTACATCGTTATCCTCGCTTGGGCCATTTTCTACTTCTTTATGTCTATGCGCAGTGGTTAGTTGAATTGCACGTTTAATTTTATGCAAAATAGAAATAAATTTAACAGTAATAATTGAGCGAATGTATCGATATCCTGATATTTAATCAGAATTGCCATGGGGAAGCTGTAATAATTACTGGAACACAAGGAACTGCGTAAACCCCTACGACAGAGGTTCACTGTTATGTTGGAATAAGTATATCATACAACACCATCGTTATGTTAAGATATGCTCCGTCAATGACGTCAATATGACAATCACAGAGCTTACTGATCCGGTAAAAGAATTTTGGGAGTAAGTTCAATTAAATAAGTAATAACGATATTAAGAATTCGTTTAATCGTGCAAAATACTATTTTCCAGACGTCGAGCACTTCAAATCAGTGAAGGAGTCGAATACGTGGGCAACATTCGTTGGGAGTTAGCTGGTACCCTTCTTTTGGTTTGGATCCTTTGCTATTTTTGCATTTGGAAAGGTGTCAAGTGGACCGGAAAGGTGGTGTACTTCACCTCCTTATTTCCTTATGTTCTACTGACGATCCTTCTGATTCGCGGAATTACATTACCTGGAGCTATGGAAGGCATACGCTTTTACATTAGTCCAAATCTTTCTAAGCTAAAAGAATCCGAGGTACACGTTTATAGTTATATCATAACAATCATTCCCTTTTTGATCATTGTTTTTAGTAATAGCTTATTAAACTTCGTAGGTATGGATAGACGCTGTTACTCAAATTTTCTTTTCATACGGGCTAGGTTTGGGTACATTAGTAGCGCTCGGTAGTTACAACAAATTTACGAATAATGTTTATAAAGACGCTCTAATTGTTTGTTCGGTGAATTCTTCAACGAGCATGTTCGCCGGTTTCGTCATATTTTCGGTAGTAGGCTTCATGGCACACGAACAACAAAAACCTGTCGCAGAAGTTGCTGCTTCCGGTCCAGGATTAGCTTTCTTAGCATATCCTTCTGCAGTTCTTCAGCTTCCTGGAGCACCTCTATGGTCTTGCCTCTTTTTCTTTATGCTTCTTCTTATAGGTTTAGATTCTCAGTTTTGTACCATGGAAGGGTTTATCACTGCTATGGTGAGTACTATACTTTAGATCTCCTTCGCGAACATCTAATAACCGGTTTTCAAGTTTTTACAAAAAAAAATGTATGTTTAACCATTTAAAATTCAAGGTGGACGAATGGCCACAATTGCTTCGTCGGCGTAAAGAACTCTTTATTGCAATTGTTTGTGTACTTTCTTACATTATCGGATTATCTTGCATTTCGCAAGGTGGCATGTATGTCTTTCAAATCCTGGATTCGTATGCAGTATCTGGGTTCTGTCTTCTTTTCCTAATTTTTTTCGAGTGTATCTCAATAAGCTGGGCCTTTGGTGTTAACCGATTCTATGACGCCATACGAGACATGATAGGATATTACCCTCTTATGTGGTGGAAACTGTGTTGGACTATTACCACTCCCATGATTTGTGTTGTAAGTAGGATTTACCATTCTTCATAAATTAAGAAGTAGAAATATTATGTATCTTTCTTTTCGCTTTTTATTTTATCGATCAATTTTAATTTTGTCTTTTAATCTAAACAGAGCTACATCTAATTTTTTACTTATCATCAGCATGTGTTTGTTTTAATTTCTGAATATTTTAATAGGGCGTCTTTATCTTCAATCTCGTACAGTGGACACCTGTAAAATATTTAGATTATGAATACCCATGGTGGTCGCATGTTCTTGGTTGGATGACGGCTTTATCTTCGATGCTTTGTATACCTGGTTACATGATTTATGCTTGGATGACAACACCAGGAGATAGGTCAACGGTAAATAATAAACATTTATTCTTACTTTAAGTTATTATAAATCTCTCGAGTAATAAAATATTTCATTATGTTTTTTATACTTTTATGTTTAGAAATATAAATTATTAGTGCGAATAGAGGACGACGTATCAAGTCTACGAATGAAAATGGGTCAGCCATCGGTCGAATTGACACCGCTTTAACTGCCACGGATTCATTTTGATCTTGAACGGAATTTATTGTTCTAATCTTTACTACCTTCTGACTATCATTAATTTAACGAATAACAATCTTAGGACAACATTTAACGTTATTAATTTCGTGTAATTTTTGTACAAAATTACTTCCCTCGTTCATTCGAAAAGAACTTCTGTTGTGTTCCTGTTTACGAAAAAATTCGTATTATTTAAATGAACTTTTTAAATAGTCTAGATAATAATTATTAGATTCTTATCAGAAAAGAGCTCCTATAAAATACAAAACAACTAAAGTGTTCAGAAACCATGTTTAGTTTTAGCTTAAGTACATTTAGAGTAATTTGCCTAAGTACAAGAAATTTTTGGCATACACGAATAGTCATCAAGAAAAATGCATTTAGAAAATAATCGTTGATGTTTTATATTTTAGAAATCGATTTTAAGATTAAAAATTTCAAGTACTTCATAAGTGTTCCAAATTTTTAAACTATTCGTGTAAGTCCAATTACAGATCTAGCTGCTAACTTATTTTAACAATATCGGACATGTACCATAAACAAAAATTATTGCACATTTTGTATTTAATTACAAACTACACATATCTATGCTGCCATAATTATTATATTCTGCTGCTCAATTGATTGCTGAACCTTTTTTTAGGGAAAGAATAACTATTGATATATATTCGATGAAATTGAAGACTATCTAAAAATTATTTTGGTAAAATCCATAGTATATTTAGTTGAAAATTATTATAACTAGTGATTTTAATAGTATCTGTTGCAGTTATATATGTTACACATGTTTTTCTCGTAGAAAATACAACATGCAAAGTAAGGATTTCAATCATGTGAGAAAAAGAAATAAAACAGAAGAACCTGTATGGCGTAATTTTGGGTAAATAAAGAGAAGTATTACAAAGTTATCTTGTTTTTGTTAATGTAACATATATATTTCTTTTATGTCTTGCCACTTTTAACAGTATCAGATAATATATTATACTACTATAACACGATCTTCAATTATACTAAAAACATTATAATTATATTTCACCGTCTCGTTCTCCAGATCAAGGTGTAGTAATGCTTCCACTGTGTGGTCCATTCCAGATAAATTAAAAAAAAAAAAGAATAATTTACCACTATTTTACCGACCGTACATTCTAATTACCAGCTGTACTCCTATTCATCATTACCACGTTGAACTTTTCGTTTAAATCATTTGGAATATGCATCGTGAAATGAAAAAAATTTTGAAAAAATTAATAGCAAATATTATTTACGTATAATTGCTTTATATCCTCTTATGTTATTATGAAAATAGCAAAGGATTAAAGAAAAAGTATCGTCTAAAAGGCGCAGCAAAATATGATATATAATATCGTGAGATATGATAAATAAAATATAAAAATCCTGTTAATAAATAAACTCAATATGCCCTAATGCAACCCGTTCATATAGCTATAATACCTTCAATAATTATTTAAATGTGTATATGATTTCTTAACAACGAGTGCCATGATTTTTTGTTAAAATACTTAATTATGAGCAAAACTGAAAGTGAAATATGAACAAAAGTAATATATAAACATGCATAGAGGTACTGTTTTTCTAATGTATTTATGTAATTCGTCTTATAATTGAGACTTCGTCATGTGCTATACAAGGACAGCAATCGGTAGAAGAAGATAGATTATACCCGGCAGTGAAAAATCACAAATTACCAAGATTATGTAATTAATTCATGAACTTTTAAGGCTGCATCGGACAGCTGAAACTCTGAGCAACACCCTTATTTAATTTTCGTTCATAATTTCATATTAATTTGTATGTTATTAATAATTATTTGAAGGCGTGCGTGATTTGATTACAATGACGAGCATGATCATTGGTCAAAATATATAATTATGAACTAAATGAGAAGTAAAATGTGATCAAAAATGATATGAGAAGATGTGCAAGAACATTACTTTTATAATGCATGCATAAAGTTTCATAAATTAATTGCGCAGAAGATAGTAATTAATGAAAAACTATCACTATGTACAACAATTCAAACACTCTATGCAATAATCACTAATAATTAATTAATTAGGGACAAATTTATATCTAAAATTATATTGGAAAATTCTTGAAGGATCTGCCTTTACTATGCAATTATAGTAGTTATAAATTAATCACAGATATTGAGTAATTTATGAATTTTCCACTGCCGAATAGTTAGTAACCTAATCAAAGAAAATCAGTGTCATCAATGATTTTGAACTCGAAGCTCGGATTAGGTAAAAAAAACATAGATTGCGCCTGGAGGGCGTCTAAATCTACGTGACATTGTGGTCGAAATAAATAAAACAACACTAAAAAATATAAGGATCATTCAAGAGATGGAGAATGGTCACTTGGTAATAGTTATAAAAGCTAAAGATAAATTGAATATAGAGTGTAAATGTTGCATTAAGGCAAAAATGTGTAGAAATATCTATGGGAACTTGGAAAATATAGAAGCAGCAAGAATAATGGAGCTGTGGCAGAGCATGGACTTTATTGGGCCAATAAAGCAAATGTCAAAAGGAGGTAAAAGGTATGTCTTACCTGCTGACGATTTTTCGAGATAAGAACCATTTGGTTGACTGATTTATAGATGACTAGAGATTTGATATGAAATATTATTGACAAAGGATTTTTTTTATTGTAGGAGACTTACAAGCATGAGTAATTTTAATTGCTATGGCTTATGCTGGAAAAGATGACAATAGTTCCCAATTCTTCTTTATTTTTAGTTCTACATCAGAATTGCGGAATAAACATACAATCTTTGGTAAAGTTACTGGAGAATCTATATATAACATGTTTAAAAGTGAAGAAGCACTTGTCGATGAGGTAAATTTAACGTTTACAAGAAAATAGAACAAGAATTGATATCAGTATAATATTTCCTCCTTTTTTGTAGAATGATGTACTACTTTATCCTCCAAGATTGATAAAAACTAAAATATTGAACAATCCATTTTCTGTTATTATATCAAGAATAATAGTACAGAAAAGTGCAGAAGTAAAGGACAGTTCAAAAACTAAAGCAGCAGTGGTAAAGTAAAAATCATATATGTTTGCAGAATTTAGGCCTGATAGTATTATTATTTGTAATGAAAAATTTTGTTACAGAGACTTCAATCTTTTATCATTTGGTAAAGAAGCAGAGG